GAAGGAGAAGACGATGACCTCCATTGTTCTGAGGAAAAAAAGGCTTTTGAATCCTACCCATCCACCGTTTCGTTCACTTCCAGATTCAACCTAGGCCATTGATTTGGATGACCGAGTCAACTCGGTTCATGAGTCAGAGGATCCGATTCCTGTGATGGATCTCTAGAGCCTGAAACTTGGAGAGGCTTGACTTGAAACAGCGATGAAGAAGAAGACAACTTCCAAGGACGACGGACTCGAAGGCAAATACAATGATGAGGAAGAAGACAACAATAACCACGCCCATAACCTGGACCACTTCCAAGATACTGGACTTCCCTTTAAAGGCTTTAGCGTTCCCATCTAGGTTGCAGTTGACCGTAATCTGCTCGGCCTCGTCCTTATTCTTTGTCGTTCCGACAACGGTGATGTCCAGGTGGGGTATTGGTGAAGAAGACGGAAGCTACGGGTTGCAGTTGCAGCTACTAGTGTCTCACGATGTGAAGGGTTTTTTCAATGGAGGTAAAGTAGAAGCAAGCCCAGGTGATCGAGCACTTCATGAAGCAAGCCTCTAGTCTCTAGGGGTCCTCTCTTGTTAGCCTCATAGTCCAACTCACCTCTCATTCTTCTCTCTTCGTTTTCTCCGAGATTTTGGTTGTCCCCAATGTGCTCGAGCTTCAAGGAACGGGATGGCACAACCCAGATCTCATGGTGGAGCTGGATCACCGCCTGCATCTGAAAGGTGGCATGATGGCCGCACATTTGCACATGAAGCATGACGGGGTAGCAAATGGTCGTTGAGGTGGGGTCCTAAAGACAAAGAATGGAATGGGAAGCCACGTTATGTTATTTACATTTTTACAGCTTGAGTGCACCAGCTTGTGTTCAAACAAACCTACGTGGGTGGTTTTAATCCACCATCCCACTATCAGCAAAAGCATTAAAGGAAGAAAGAGATGGAAAAGCAGATGGAGAAAGGGGAGGAGATGATTAAGGGCTCCATGGAGAATGTTGTCCTGCCAGAGACAGTGGATGTAATAATTTCGGAGTGGATGGGGTATTTCCTACTGCATGAATCGATTTTGGATTCTGAGATATGTGCACGTGACTGATGGTTAAAGCCAACTGGAGTCATAAAAGCCATTCATACCAAGCAGCTGTCATTTTAGAGAAAAGCAAGAAAAGCAATGGCAATTAAAAGGTTAAAGTCAGATAGTCTCCAAGGCCATAGAACATGGGTGGACAGAGAAGGAGCGGAGCGGAAAGAGAAAGCAAAATCAAAAGATTATTCCCTTGTCTATCATTTGCCAAAAGAAAGAAAAATAAAGAGAAAGCAAAAGGGAAGCACATGGGGACACTGCAAAAGCAAGGAATAAACACCCCACCAGAATGATGTAATTTATTTTTTATCTTTCGGAGACATCTATATAAACCCCATCAGAGGCTAATATGTATAAACCCCATCAGAGGGTAATAATAATAAAAAAAAAGGCAAAACCCAAAATTAATGGGCTAGCATGTTGTTGAGAGCGAAGGCCCATAAACCCAAAATAGCACCAACCAGGTCATCAAAAGTACGCCCAGTACTCCACAATTATTCGGCAACCCGCCACTATTACCACTAAACAGGTGACCAAAAGTACGCCAAGTACTCCAAAATTATTCGACAACCCACCGCTATCACCACCAACCAGGCGATGAAATGTACAACCCGTACTCTAATATCATTTGGCAACTAGCCATTCATGCCACCAACCAGGTGATCAAAAGTACGACCAGTACTTCATATTATACATGAGCATTACTCATATCAATCATACATAAACATTCATGAGCATCACTCATGACAACATCCATGAGCATCACTTATGTCAATCAACATAAACATTCATGAGCATCACTCATGTCAATCAGCTTCAAAAACTTCATTTACAGAGCTCTAGCTTCAAAAGCTTCATTTACAAAGCTCTAGCTTCAAAGCTTCACTTACAAAGCTTCAGTGCATGGTATACAAATACCGCATCCGAACAACCGCCACTTCGGCCCATACATGGATTTAATTTGAAGTCTCCAGCCAACATACTCTATTGACCGAAGACTTGGGGGCTACATTATGTACCATATATTGGGCCTCAACTGGGCCTCATGAAAATACTTGAGGGACTTAGCCCATTATCTATGTAATGAGGAGCGAGCCCTTATTCTATAAAAGGGACTCCCTCACTTTCCTTAGAGAGCACTCATGAAAAATACTTGGGGGACTTAGCCCACCACTTATGTATTGAGGAGCGATCCCTTATTCTATAAAAGAGACTCTCTCACCCATTAGAGAGCATCGCCGCCTACTGAGCAGTCGTTTCGCCGCGAACATCAACGTTAGCTCATCATTTATGTATTGAGAAGTGGGCCCTTATTCTATAAAAGGGACCCCCTCACCTTCAAGCGCCACAAGCCAAGCCAACCAAGGCAATATAAGCCACAAGCCGAGTAGTCTCGCAACATGTGCTACTTCTAGTTGAGCATCATTTCAGATTGGGCACCGCCTCATGTCGAGTGTCAGCACCAGACGCCATCTAGTTACTTCGGCCCACACATTGACTGAATTTCAAGTCTCCAGCCAAAAGACTCTCTTGACTGAAGACTTGGGGGACTACTGTTTATACCATATTTAGGGCCTTGTATTTAGACCTCGTATAAATACTCAGGGGGACTTAAATGTAATTATATGATAAAGGAAGGGGCAAATATGTAATAAATGAGGAGTTCTTATTCTATAAAATGACCCCTCACCCTCACAATAAGAGGAGGTCAATCCCTAGGCCCTCTCACCCCTCAGAAACTCTCTCATCCTCAATACTCTCAGAAATACATAATCAGTGTGGACGTAGCCCAAACCTTGGGGTGAACCACGATACATCTTGTGTTATTTACATTACTTGCAGATTCATGGTCGGATTTACGTTATTCCAAGACTTCCGGTTTTGTGCATCAACAAAACTTAATAGATACTACTAAAGAACATGACGTAATTTGAGCTTTATTAGAGGCTTACTATCTGGGGAGAAACTTTTATATTCACAATTGTAGTTGTACTTTTGTTTATATCATGTGTGTTGGGCGTCACTAGTGTCACTAATGAAAGTAAAATATATAAATAAATTTAGAGTTACGTACGTAAACAAATCAAATGATTGAGGTGACCAATTATTTTTTGCTAATGGTCTTCTTAGGAGTGTACTAAATTGGATGTTGGGTTAGTTATTTTGGAGCTTTCAACATGACCTTCAATATTAATACAAAATGTGAAGAACCCAAGTTCAAATTTGTCAATTTTTTTGTGTGGCCACAAATGAAATTTAACATACTTAAATATGGCACAAAGTTGCCTTCATCTTGGTATCATTTGTAATCCAATTTATTCATGTGCAATTTAGGGTCATTCAATTCATAAGCGATTGAATTTTTTTTTTAATAGTTTTGTTTTTATTTTCAGCTCCTTATTGTCATACAGGACAAAGGAGATACCATTAGCGGAGTTACGCATATGGGTGTTTTTGGTGGAACAAACCTTACTTTTTGAGTTTTGTACAGTTTTAGACATAAAAGATTCTCTGGGATATGACATAAATGTAAATAGAACTCCCTAACTATGGCATACTACTATCCTGATTTTTGTCATGTAATATAAGAAAGTAAATAGAATTCCTTGACTAGGGCATATCATCATCCTCAATTTTCTCATGTAATATTATATAGACACTACTCTTTGGCACATATTCAAACTTCTTACACATTTAACATAGTTTTGAAACCCATGGCATCGCACAGGCTCAGCTGCTTGTTAATATCAATTACTTGTAAAAAATCTTTACCTATTGTAATATTGTAGACATCGAAATTTCGGTGAAATAAATGTTTACCAACTCATTAAAGTTTTGATATGTCAGGGCATATGTGCCATGTGCCATGTGTCTCATAAATTGTACACATGGCAATTGACTTAACAAAATCGAACGACTCATCAAGAAGGACACGTGTCAACACTTGGCGGAAATGAATTATTTGATTTTAAGTTAATTAAATCAAATGTTAATTGATGGAGTCAAATCAAGAACCGGCCCACAAATCAAGTACTGGCTTTTTCGTCAATTAATCAAGCCCACAATCAAGGCCAAATCCATGCATAGTCAAGGCTTGGTAAGTCTATAAATAGGAGGCTCCAAGATAAAGAAAGGGGTCCAGAAAATCATTCACGTCCAGACGCTGAAGCTTTGAAACTCTGAAGCTCTCAAGCACTCAAACCCCAAACACTCAAACACTCAAGAAGACTTGGGAAACCTTCCGTGTTCTTCGTCCAACCCGTGAAAAATCACCAAGCACCCCTACACGTGCCGGTTCCTCCATTGCCAAGAGTCAAAACCTTGCGGCATTCGTACATCCAAGATTAAGTCATCGCAACCCTTGGATCAACAACACTACACATCTACACATTTCGGAGATCAAATTAGGGGATCAAGTTGTAAAGAGATTGTAACCCTACTAATTCATTAATACAAACATTTACTTTGTACACGTATTATCTTGTCATTTGTCGCAGGATTTTTGTGTTTACAGATATATTTCTTACCATAGTCAATAGACAATAGGATTTGTTTCCATTATAACTAATTTTCCTTCTTTTTCTACAATCTTTCTGCACTATATATTGGCCTCCAAAGAAACAAAGAACATATGTAAAAAATTCCTACAGACACGTAACTTTTGCAGGCGCATACAAGGTCGATACAAGCGTCCACTACCATATAACTTTTTGTTCTTGGGTTTTTGTTGATCAAATTCATTTATCATATGACACGTACACTGCGTGCAGATTCTTGACGACACATTATACGCATGCAGTTGGGGATGCAAACAAAATAGCAGCTGGCACATAATCCAGAACAAGAACTGATCATTTTTATTTCTCTAAACGCATACATACAACTTATAATATTCGGGGGGAGAGAGAGAGAGAGAGAGAGAGAGAGAGAGAGAGAGAGAGAGAGAGAGAGAGAGAGAGAGAGAGAGAGAGATGGCAGCAACAGAGGAAAACAGCAAAGTCTGTGAAGCTTATCCAATGAAAGGTGGAAATGGAGCCAACAGCTATGCCAACATCTCCATTTACCAGGTATCTTCAGTTCTCTATGAATCTCTAATCAATTAATTTTAGGGTCCAGAAATAATTACCTCTGCGCAACGAAAATGTCATTTGACTGAAAGGTCATCGATTCGAGTTGTGAAAATAACTTTGTTAGTTTGAGATCACCTCTTTTGCAAATTAATAATTATTTATCATCTGTCTTTCGCTAGGGTTTGGCTCCTTCCTTCTGAGCTACTGTCGTTCTAGTAGCTTATTGCCGTCGTTTTTTTTCTTTCCTTTTTTTCCTTTCTGTGGTGGTCTAGTGCTACTTGCTTGTTTGTATCGTTTTGTCTTTTTCTCTATGCATTTCGACCGAGCGGTCTGTTTCTGGGCATGACTTGTGTAACGTCCCTTTTCTCTTGTTAATTTGACCAAAGAACATTAATTATAATGCAATTGTTGCATGTAGCTTTATATATGGGCATGTATATATAAGATACCCAAACCTTAGTTGATTCATCCATGTCGAACGGGCCTTATCTTGGAATTTCAAACATAAAATGTAAAATATGTTTTAGTACGTGGTACTTAAATCGAAACTAATTGCATGCTATTAAGAATCCATTTGATAACCATTTTAATTGTTTGTAACTGAAAATTGTTTCGTAATTCTTTCCAATTCTAGTTTTCAGTTTTTTTATATTTTTACATTTTTATTTTTTTTGAACAAAAATTATTATTTACACTAAAAGGGAGGAGATGGGCTTAGCCTCATTATGGACTAGCGATGTGGTTCAAATTTGTCTTTTGCGAGAATCGAATCTAACACCTTTTAGATCCAAGTGAAAAGGAATACCACTAGACTAGACCATAGTACTAAGTGGTCATTTTTTAATATTTAAAACTAATTTTGAAAGCTATCAAATTTTTTAATATTTAGATTCAAGTGCAAAGGAATACCACTAAACTAAACCGTAGTACTAAGTGGTAATTTTTTAATATTTAAAACTAATTTTGAAAGCTATCAATTTTTTTGGCTTTATTTTATGAAAACTAAAAGTAGCCACCGAACAAGTTTTTTTTTTTTTTTTGGAACAGTCACCGAACAAGTTTTATAAAACTAAAACTACAACTAAAACCGATCGAGATGGTTCTCAAATGGGCGTTATAACTTAATTATGTGAATTTAGTCCTAACCTCCCGAACAGTCACCGAACAGTCCCCTTCGTTGAGGGATCATTCAAATAATTTAGTTGTGGGATTTCTCAAATAATTTTAGTTGAAGGATTTCTCAAATAATTTATTTGGACACCTTGCGGTGAACATTCCGTAACTTATTTCGACAATCTAAACCATATATATTATCATACACCATTCATAAATAATCTTTACCAAAAATTAGACAACAAATTCAAAACTAATAAAACATCAAATTGTAGTGAAGAAAATAGAAGAATACGCTTTTTGAAAGAAACATTGTTATAAACATATATGTAATTATTGCTTTTCAGCATTAGAAGTTATAAGTACTTGCTGAAACCAAAAACACAAGCTATATATTAGAACATTTCTCCTTGTGCAGAGAGGAGGTGCGGAGGCTTCCAAGGAATTTGTAAACAAGGCAATCGCAGAACTTGGCCTGGAAACCTTGTTATCTTCCAAGACCTTTAGAATTGCAGATTTAGGTTGCTCCGTTGGGCCCAGTACATTTTTTTCAGTTGAAAACATAATTCAAGCTCTGCAGTTGAAATATAAAACCCTAGCGTTGAGCTCCCAATTACCTGAGTTTCAGGTTTTCTTTAATGATCTTAACTCAAATGATTTTAATCTGCTCTTCAACTCCCTCTCACACAACAGGCAATACTATGCCGCTGGGGTGCCAGGCTCCTTCTATGGTCGGCTATTTCCTAATAATTCCATCCACCTTTTTTACTCTTCCTTTTCCATTCCATGGATTTCTCGAGTCCCAAAAGAGGTAGTGAATAAAAACAGTCCTGCCTGGAATAAAGGTCGAATCTTTTACTCAGATGCCCCAGATGAAGTAGTAAGGGCTTATGAAGCACAACATGTTGAGGACATGGATTGCTTCCTGAATGCGAGGGCACAAGAAATTGTGAATGGAGGACTCATGGTACTTAATGTTCCAGGTCGCCAAGACGGTACCCCTCATTCTCAAACTCTGCCAAATGTGATCTTTCAAATTTTGGGATCTTGCCTCATGGATATGGCTAGGAAGGTAAGCAATTACTGATAATTTGTTCTTACTGTTATATTAAACCATGTACAAATATAATCCAAATAACATCTCATTAGTTTTGAATATTTACAATGCCAAAGCTGCTATACATACATGTGTGTTTTCAATTTATGCATGCAGGGAATTGTTGATGAAGAGAAAGTAGATTCATTTAACCTACCCAATTACTTAATGTCTTCCAAAGAACTAGAAGCTTCTATAGAACGAAATGGATGCTTTAGCTTAGAGAGAAGGGAAAATTTGCATCACTTCGTTGCACATGACATTGTCTATAAAAATCCCCTACTACTTGCATCTCACATCAGAGGTAGCCTGGAGGGACTCATCAAGCAGCATTTTGGAGACGAAATCTTGGACGAGCTCTTTGACTTGTATGGAAAAAGACTTGCAGAGCAACAATCCATTGTTGTGGCAGGGAAGGCAATTGTCTATTCGGTTGTGCTTAGACGCAAGGCAAATTGACTTAAGCACGGTGCTGTGTCGCTATTTATTTCGAGTCTATAGTCGCTTTCTTCTTTGTGTTTATGTCTTTTACTTTAAGGACCTGTGATAAGTTTCCATATTATTGACGAGTTTAATTTGCTTCCTACTGTGCATGCCACTCCTCATCATATATAATATTCAGGTATTGACAGCATACATGTTATATGTTAGAAACCATGTCCGTGTATTGCTTTGGCTACAACTACAGGTGTCTTTTGCCCGTTTGGTAATGTTTTTAAAAGCAATTTTTTGTTTTTCAAATAAAAACGAAGTGTAAAATGTGTTTGATAGCATGTTTTGACACATCCCAACCCGGAATGTCCACTGGGACTCCGAATCGAGCTATGATGGCCGACACCTGGAAGGTGACCGAAGCCATAAAGTATAATGATGTGAAAATGTGAATAAATTTAAATCTAAAAGTACCTAAATACCAGAATGCGCTGTGAGCGGGAATGAACCCATTTCACATGCAAGATTAGAGCATAAGTAAAGTACAGTAGTGTGGGTAAGGATCATACCCTCGGAGGTAGCCACATATATTGGGATTCGCCACGAATCCTGATCGATACGAACTTTCAGCAGCTAAAACCTGGAATGGCGCAAAACAAGGGTGAGTGGGCCTGAAAATAAAGTTTTTAATAAAAACCTTTTGAAAATGTTATAACCCCTCGCCGTAAAACCCGTATAATTTCCCAGAAAATAGTAATACATATGCATATAGAAATCATGCTCGAGAGTAATGAAAACTAAATATATGCCATGTCAAGTATCTCAGCAATGAAATAAGTAAGCCAGGTGAAATAAATCAATGTAAAATGATATGCCAGCCGGAGTCACCTAACGGGACCTATACAGCTGAACTTATAGCTCATTAACCAATTCCTGCACACAAGTCGGAACACCTAATGTGGTCTGTATAACAGGCTGGGTGTAAATAGATACGCTCAGGTGCTACGATCACGTGAAGGTTATGCAAAGTATCGCAAGTCACGTACGAGTCGGAACCATCTAATGTGGTATGTACGACAGGCTGACACCTGCCTTTGAGCCAAGGTGAGCGTGTGGTGCAGGAGGTGAACGATCACGTGAAGACTGGCTGGCCCGGGGCGGAGCACTAACACTGGGATGCAGGATAATAAGTACTAAATGCATCTAAACATAACCATACACACTGCAATCAATATCATCAATATGTATTCACCTGAAGCTTACCTGGGCATTCGCAGTGTTATGCAATAATACGCAACTCTATACTAATGCATATAATAAATGTAATGCAATTAACATGGCATTTAGAAAACGTAAATTCATTTAAAACAATTTCTGAGAAAATGGAAAACATATATATAGAAAACCAAAAGCCCACTCACCTGAAGTCCACGCTACAACTCCCTCGTATAAATATCAAGGCGTCACAAACGATCGACGTCTGTGACTAAGGCCAATTTGGCCGGGAAAGGCTCCAATTTAACTCAAACCTGCTGGAAACCCTAGAAAGGGTGAGCTTCAATTCTCCTTCATCGATGTTCCACCTCCCCTAAAACTAATTAGGCTTTGTTTCTGGGTTCATGGATAGTCTATTGGTGTTGTTAATTGAATCAAAATGTTTCAGGTTTGATGGATCTCAGTCGAGGGTCCTCACGGCCCCCATGGTTCCCGTCGAGATGTTTTCCCCAAAATACAACCAAATCCATTATAATTTTAGGTGGAAAAGAAAGAGGGAGGGTAGTGGAATGTTTTCCAGGTGATGGATGGCAGCAATTCGTCGAAAAAATCGCCTGAAAAGGCATCAGAAGGTGTGGAAAAGCCGGGTTGGGTACGGGTCAAGGGGAACCCGGTGGGTTCCTCTCCTTCTCCCTTTCTCTCCTTTTTCCTCCTTTCCTCTTTCCTGATTGGCCACCTTAGTTCTCTTTCCTCTTCCGATTGGCCTCACATCCCCCTCCTTCCTCTCCTTTATCCTTCATCTCCATCGCCTATCTTTCATTTCCTTCAATCTCAGCCACACACGTGGCTTCACCAGATTTTGCTCCAAAAATCTGGAGCTTTCTAGATATTAACTAATTTATTAAAATGCCCCCAACTTTAAACGTTAATATCCCCTTCATTATAACTCCAAATTGCATTCCATTTGCATCCACGCGTTCGCAGCGACGAGTACTACAAGGATACACCAAGAAAATGAATCTTACGTGACACGACATGGCAATCAACAAAAGTCAATACTTTGGCTCGAAGGACATTTTCGTAAATTCACTTTTTAGAATTACAAAAATCATAATAATTGGGGACAGGTCGTTACATGTTTTAAAAGAATTAAATTTGAAAATGACTAACACTCCATACAAGTCAAATTAATGTTTCTTGTGTTTCCTAAATATACATTTCAAATTATAGAAAACACAAGATAGAGATAAAATAAAGTTAAGGATTTTAAGAAGAATGAAAAATTATGTACGTCACCTTACCGTGGTCATTATCACCATTAACACAGGGTTCTTTTTCAGTGACTCATTATTATAAAACGTATAGAAGTCAAATTAATATTTCTAAGAGGTGTTGTAGGAAAAATTTGCATCAGTTTGCAGTAGATGACACATGCATTCTTTAGAAACAGCCACATAGTTAAGTACATTCCACTGGAGCGAATGTGTGGAGGGACTCATCAAGCAGCATTTTGGAGATGAAATGTTAGACAAGCTCTTCGACTTGTATCGCAAGAAATTTGAAGAGCAACACTCCGCCCTTGAATCAGACAAGGCAAATTCTGCCCCTTTTCTGCTTAGATGCAAGTCAAATTAATCGGTTGCGCTCGTTGTGCTTATTCAAACCCTAATTTGGCTTGCAAGGGTTTATCAACCTTGTCCATACAATAGATCCAGTGATTGAAAATACCAAAACAGCTCCACGTTCAAATCAAGTGGCATTGCCTAAGAACAAAAATACCTCCATGTTTAATTAAATGTTACCTTCCTAGCCATGTCCATGAGGCAAACATCTCCAACCAATCCGGCCAGAGGGTCATAGGTCCAAAAATAGCCCGAAATGACACGAAAACCGTCTCCAACAGAGGGTTAGGCCAAAGGGCCACTACTACAATATTAGCTTTAGGTGGCGGATGATGGTGGCGGATATTAGAAAAATCTTGTCGGTTATATCCGACATAAAGTCCTAGCGGATATCAAAAAAATATTGTCGGTTATAACCGACAGTATTTTTTAATCCTTTTTTAAAAATATTTTTGAAGATTCTGGTGGTTTTTAAGTTAATGGTGCCAGTTATAACCGACATAAATTGATTATTTTATTATTTTACTTTCTGACAATTATTATTTTAGTATTCTGGCAGTTATAACCGACATAAATGAAAATTTTATTATTTTAATATGTTATATTGATTAAAAATAAATAAATAAACACATTTTTTAAATATTTTTTTTTTCACTCATGACCCTAAAGTCTAATGAACCCAATTCCCACGATTTCACATTCCCATCCCGGGGTCAACCACATCCCGGGCCCACTTTACTGCCGTAGCACGATATTGTCCGCTTTGAGCCCCGACCACACCCTCACGATTTTGTTTCTAGGAATTCACACGAGAACTTCCCAGTGGGTCACCCATCATGGGAGTACTCTCGTGCGCTACTCGCTTAACTTCGAAGTTCCGATGGAACCCGAAGCCAGTGAGCTCCCAAAAGGCTTTGTGCTAGGTACAGATGAGAATATACATATAAGGATCACTCCCCTGGGCAATGTGGGATCTTACAATCCACCCCTTTTAAGGGTCCGACGTCCGTCAGCACACCACAGCTAGGGTTAGGCTCTAATACCAAATTGTCACATCCCGACCCGGGCCCGGGGTCCACCATATCCTGGGTCGGGGTGTGTCAAACGAGCCATAAATTTTCTGAGAGAATAATAACAACAGACTACAATCTGAAGCTCTATCATTTTTGTAATAAGGATTATGCTCCCTTATAGGCAAGCAACAAGATACAAAGAAATTCAAGCAATTTTTTTCAATGTGTCACAAAACACATTGTCTGGCACATAAACACACATGAACATATGGTGTACTCTATCATGTTTGATTTTATTATTTTAAAATGTTGTATTGATTAAAAATAAATAAATAAACACATGTTTTAAATATTTTTTTTCGTTTATAATTGGAGCTGTAAAAAATCATTAAAATTTTTAAAATTGTGATTTTTCGTTAAAATCGTTAAATTGTGATTTTTCGTTAAAATTGGGTCGAGGAGTGTAGTTGTAAAAAAATCATTAAAATTGGAGCTAAAACAACCGTTAAATTGTGATTTTTCGTTTATAACCGTAAAAAACTTTTGTTCCGTTACGTAATCTCTGAATGTTTGTTTTTTATAATTTTTTACATATGCAATCTTGAAGTGTGTACAAATAAGTTTTACGGTTGGATCGTTGAAAAACGTTTCGTATAATGCATATTGCGTCAAAACGGTAGATTAAACAAATGTCACAGCCCGTACCGAGAATATATATCGGGAACGTGAAATGACGGGATTACCCTTAGCGGGTACTAAGGTATGTGTGTGTGACATATAATTGGTTTAAAACATACATTCCTAAATTCTTGGAAATGAATTAAGTTTGATTTAATAACGTGATATGTATGTTTGTGTGGCTAGGGTTGTGAGTTGGACTTGTTTTTTTTTTTATGGATCACACCCACACACACGAGACACTTCTCATTCCTTCCCCCGTGTCTTCTCTCTCTCTTCCCTCACGACACACTCTCTCTCTCTCTTCCTCTCGAAACGTACAGACCAACGTCAAAAACCCCTGAAACTTCATGGATCGAAGTGGAGATTATCACCATCGTGTTTGTGAGTGTCCTATGAACTCAAAGATACCATTTTTAGGTAAGAAATCCTTCGTTTTCACATTGAAAACTCGAGGTCCGAGTTTGGCACTATTCATGAACTTTGTGTTGGTTGATTTTTAGGACAATCCAACCTCACAGTGAGCTTAGTGAGGTTCTAAGGAAGCTCGGGGACGTTCGTTTGGAAGTTTTGGACATCGGGATCACCATGTTCAAAGTTGGCCGGTTTTCGTGGGATTTCTTCGGTGAGATTTCGTGATTTTTAGAGCCTTAAAGTAGTATAGCGTGAAACTACATGTTTAGGGCTTCAT